TTAAATACAAAATATATTAACTAATAGAAAGTTTAAGTATAAGAATGACGTGTATCCCAATTGAGATTCTCTAATGATTTCACCGGTCCGTGGTTCGTAATCATTCACCCCCCGGCTGAATTGGAAGGTGTGAATGGTTTTCATTGTGCCATCCGCCTTCCTTCCCCATTGCCAAGTGGTTTCAAAATTAGGAAATGGATCTGAAGATCTATTGAAAAGTTCAGGGAATTCTCTTTGGCATTTTGCCATTCTCAATTTGAGTGATTAAAAGTGAAAATATTTGAAGTTTCCTCAAATTTTATTTGTTTAAACTGGGGGTGGGTGAGGGAAGTTTGTGAAGAAGAAGAATGGAGGGGGGAAAAATGAGAGAAATGAGGAATAATTTTGGGATGGAGAGCACACTACAATAGTGTAATTTTTTTTATTGGGTTAGGACCCTAATTATAAATTTTTTGTGATGTTTTTATTGAAAACAAATTATAATTGTGGTGTTATTACAATGTGATGATGTAATTAAAATTTGTAGTGTAATATAATTATCCAATAAAAATGGTGTGACCCTATTTTTTTTGTTGCGTCGAAGGGTTAATCTACTCGTACAATATAGGTGGACAAAGTTTGTATGGCAAAATCTGAGTCATGGATTTCAAAAACCGTTTTTGAAATCATTAAGGCCCTGTTTGATTGTTCTTTCTTTTCCATGAAAGATTGAAGTTAAAATCATTTTCCACATTTTCTTAGTTTTTGAGAAAAACCTTTTCACATGGGTGTGTTGGGAAAAACTTTTTTAGGGATTTCTTTTTTTTGGCAATTGAAACAAATTATATTTCCAATTGTAACAAATTATATCCCTTTAATGAATGATTTTCATGAAAAATAAAACCAAACGAACACAAAAAAAAATCTAAAATTTCAATATTTTCAGGTGAAAAATTATATCAATCAAACACAATTAATTGACAATTCTGAGTAAAATAAGTTCTAGACAATTCAATTTCCCGAAATTCAATTTCTTTTTAATCAAATTTCATTGTTACAATCAAACGGACCTTAACTTAAATTTTGCCTACACATATTTTGTAAATCAATTTTGTCAACTAGCATGACTGTACCAAAATGTCACGCGTACGCTCAGCCCCTTGGGCTCTTCCCCATCACAAAATTATGGTATTCGCTAGAATCACAATGAACTGTGCTGGAGCTCTCACACACAGGCCACCATCCGCTTCTTCCCCAAATGTCGACCGCCAAAATAACACCATCTGCTGCCGGCCTTTCCGC